AGCAAATTACACGAATGGTCCCTATGGTTTAGGGTAATTTGTACGTTTGATCCCTAACTAATTTTTTTTAACTCGGAAGGTCCCTATAGTTTGTTTTTGTTACACGTTTGGTCCCTGTCTTACCTAAAAAGATTATTTTGCCATTGATTTTTTAATTTATTTAAATAAACACACCCCGAACTCCATTCTCCTCACCTTACCTTACCTATCCTACCATTTTTTCCTATTTAAATAATAGTCTTTTTTGGTAAGATAGAGATCAAATGCGTAACAAAAACAAATAGTAGGGACCAAATGCGTAACAAAAACAAACATTAAGGACTTTTCGAGTTAAAAAAATTAGTTAGGGACCAAACACGTAAATTACCCCAAACATAGGGATCATTCATGTAATTTACTCTAAATTTATTTCATTTAAATCATAATATACTCACTTTATCTTTTATTTGTATAACATTATAAAATGTATATGGACTCCATATTTAAGACTTTCATTATAGTTTCGTGCATCGTAATAAATTTATTTTACTAATTGCTACTCTCAAATAATAATTCATTTTGAAAACATGATATATATGTCCTAAAAAATAAAAGTAAATGATGTAGTTTTAGTTCACAAAATAGAGAGTAAATTATACGAATAATCCCTATGGTTTGGGATAATTTATGTGTTTGGTGTCTAACTTATTTTTGTTGACTCGGGAGGTCTTTACTATTTGTTTTTTTACACGTTTGGTCTTTACTGTTTGTTTTTGTTACATATTTGGTCATTTTTATATCTAAAAAGACTATTATTTAAATATGAAAAAATGGTAAGATAGGTAAGATACGGTGAGGGTTGGGGTTGGAGTGTGTTTATTTAAATAAATTAAAAAAAATCAAGGAAAAAATAGTATTTTTATGTAAGATAGGGACCAAACGTGTAACAAAAACAAACAGTAGAAACCTTTCGAGTTAAAAAAATAAGTTAGATACCAAACATACAAATTACCATAAACCATAGGGACCATTCGTGTAATTTACTCCAAAATAGATCACCACGAGAATGCAACAATTGATAACAGGTGGCATATGGCATATGGCACTAGAGTGAATGTCATTTCAGTGCGCTTTGGATCGAAGATTAAGATCCAAAAAATTAATCTTTCACAAAGTCTTGTTGTTTCACATCACAAGAAAAATAAAAGAATGTGATCACGAGAAACACATTTGAAGATACAATGAATTGTAGCTTTAAATATATTTGAAAACCGAAATTTCGATTGTGTCGTTATAAAAGTCTAATCATTTCTTGATTTTTATGACAAAGATCATTCAGTAAAAACACTACATGGCAGGAACGATGAGATATTTTGTGGAGTTAAATACTAAGAGAACCCACATGTGGGTTTTTAGTCTTTCAAATCCTTCTTGCAAATGATATGGTTCTTTCAACTGATGAAAGACCATGAGAACATATACTTTTTATTATTTTTATATTATTATTATTTTACTATAGTTATATAGGATAATTAAAAATCTCCACAAACTAGTGAATTAAATTATAGGTAAAGTTTGTTAAAATTTTTGAAATTATATTATATAATTCATCAACAAAGACAATTTAAAGATTACGGTGTACTTAAATATCTATAATTAGATATAATTAATTATAATTGTTAATGAGTTAATTTATTTTTATATATTTACATATTGCATATAAACAAATAAATTTTGTTAAATAATATAAAATGGTTGTTGATGTGTGGCAGTGGGTCTCATTCTAAAAGAATATTGATATTTTACTATCTAAGTGGTTATTGCAAAACATAGTTGAAATATAAGTAAGCATTACATGATATGAATGTTCTAACAATCAACCTTTAAAATTAGATTTTAAGTGTATGGAAATTGTTTTTTGGGTCAGTATATAAAATAGTTAGATTCTCTTATATGTTTTTTTTTTTTTAATTTTTTTTTATATGTGGGCTACAAATAATCCCATTTATTTAACAATGTTTCATCTAACTTGTTAATATTTAAAACTTCATTACTTTTAGACTAACTTTTCTTTTGGAACGACAACTAATCTATACATAAATATCATTTGTGTCTTCAATAAAACATGAATATATGAGGTTAGATAGTGTGATACCGATGGCACCACACTTTCAGCTCATTGATGTTGATATATTTGTCATTTTTATCATTTTTACAAGAGGTTAGAGGGTGGTCTTCTTGGCAAAATAAAGTAGAATGAGGAGGAAGAAGTGAGAGTTTTAGACAGCGAAAAAGGAGACAAACATTGATAGACTATTACCAACGACAAAAAAGAAACTGTGGTCGATGTTTGCTGTCGGCAACACTCGCCGCATCGGATTAAATTTGGAGACTCACTAACTTTATTACTTTTTAGACTAACTATTTAACTCATTTTAACCTCTAATATTAAATTTGAAATTCGTAATGTTTGAATATGAAATCCACGATGTTTATATAAGATATGAGTATTTGGACCGAATATTCAAACCGGAAACGAAACCGAACCAAAACCAAAACAGGGGATATTGAAGTTGAGTTTTCTATTTTTTTTTAATTGCAGCATGTCTCTAGAATTTAGCGACAACTTTAAACTATTATAGCGTTGTCATTATTTGCACGATTTGCTTGATTTTTTTTAGTTTTTAGCTTACAATTTAACACACTGTTTACATAGTTTATATGTTATTTTTGGTTATATATTCAATGAGATATAGATCCCTAAACAGGGATATTGAAGCTAAGTTTTCTATTTCAACATGTTTGCAAAATTTTAAGACAACTATGAAATATCATAGTGTCTTTGATATTTATCTGATTTGTAATACTTTTTCAATATTGTAGTTCACAATTTAAACTACCATTTACACAGTTTACATGTATTTTTTGATTGTATATTCATTGAGATACATACTTTTAAACAAGAAGATATTAAAAATGTTTTTTTTTAAACTAACAATTACTTTATTCGGTTCTTTTTGGTTTTTTTCTGTTCTATTCGATCCTTAATCATATTGTAAATATTATTCGGTTTATTTGGATAATAACCGAACCCAACCAAGTAATACTTGAATCGAAACGGTTCCGTATTGGTTTAATTAGGTCCGCTTTCAGTTCCTAAAATTAGTCTTATTCGGTTTTCATTTTATTTGGGTTCGATTCAATTGATCCATTTCCAACCCGAATAACGTTCCTATATTTGATCAAGTTTTTTATTTTAATAACTTCAAGTAATAATTTTATCATCATTATTTACTTTTACAACTATAAATGAATCAATCAAATCTTCAAAAAAGATAATTTTTTTTTATGAAAATATGCAAGACATGCCAACAAAGAAGTCGAGTTAAAAGCAAATATAGGTTGAATATTTAACGATCTTTATTTTAATTTATGGAATTGTAATATATTATATGAATTTTATGTATTGTAATATAATATATATTTTTTTAAAATATATTCAAGTAGTTTTCAATTTTATAAATATTACATACGTTTAAATTAACATTTATAATAATATTTTATAAAATAAAGTAAATTAGTTAATTTTATAAAAAAATATTTTTAAATAGTAAATTATTAGAGATGATTTAAATTAATAACATTTGGTTTGATAAAACTAATAGAAAGACGATGCAAGGAAAATATACATAAAAATATGAGATTGATATTTAAAGATTGTCCAAGAAAACAGATATTAAAACATCTCCGAATATAACTTCTTCAAAAGTTTTTTATTATTTGAAAAAAAATACCATTTTAGCGGTGAACTTTCTCAATAGATAACTCCAACCATTTATAATTTTCTTACATGTTAATCCCCAAATTTAATAAAAATTTATTTCATGCCTTTTATATATATATATATATATATATATATATATATATATATATATATATATATATATATATATATATATATATATATATATATATATATATATACAAAAAACTAAGATATTGTCGATTGTAAGTAATTATAAATTAATTTGTTAAGAAAAATAAACATAATAATGTTATTAGGATATGATTTAATATTTTCAAATTTTGAATATAAAAAAAAATAAAAAAATAAATAATAATCATAATAGAAAAATATCATGTATTAAAAAGACATTCTAAAAAACTAACACATGTTATTTTTTAGGTTTCATTTATTAGAAATATATATATATATATATATATATATATATATATATATATATATATATATATAAAGGAAGGCTCATGCGAAAATGCAAAGAATATATGAAAATGCGAGAACCAATAAGAACATGCCACATCAATAATCATTATTTATTCATTTTGATTTATTTAATTTATTAATGAAGGGTAACTAAGTAAATTACAAAAAAATGAATTATAACCTGTTGTTTAAATTAATAACCGTAAACATTAACTACAATTTTAAATTAACATTAACTTCTTTCAACTAATGAAGGATTGAATCATCTTCCTGCGTTTAACTGCTTCATTCAATTACAATTTTGATTGAAGAGATGTCTACAAACAGGATATTAAAAGAATTGTTCTTCATATTTAAATCATGAAGAAAACGAATCTTTCAAAAATTTAGCCATTGCAACTATACAATCAACATTAAACGATGGAGATAAAGGCAAGTTTTCAATGATTATAATTAATATATTTGTGATGTTAAAATTAAATTTTTACATTTTAAATAGATTAATTCGTAATATTTTAAAATACTAATTCCTTCTGATTTGGAAAACGAAGCAACTGAAACTTTGAATCATTCTTCAAATGGATCTTCACCTTCAACAACAAAGGAGAATGATAAAGGCAAATTTCATACTTAATATTAAACTAGTGAAGAGACCCATCCTTTGCATGGGCCGGAATGTATTTTCTACATTTGGTGTTATTTTTATTGTTTACTCTAATGAAATAGAACATTTAAAAAAAATTCAGCTTAATTTACTATGATAGTTGATGGCGTTCATGACAAGGTTTCTCTTTAGCTAAACATTTTTGGAAAGTATCATCAATGAGAGGTGCAACTTCTTCCCTTTTTTCCCTTTCAAAGTGATCCATCGTGTTAGTTTTTGCATCGTCTTTTCCATTTCTTGCATCTCTCTAACTTGCTCCTGCATTTCTAGCTCCATCAAGGACTGCTTTCTCACCTTCTCCTATCAACAGAAAAGGCAATGGTCCATATGAAAAAAAAATAGGAATGGAGGATAAAGATTTTCAAACTTACCCTTTCAATGATGGGCTTCTTTTCTTTCTTTTTGATACATTTTCCAACATTATCTAGTAAAGTTTGTGCTACTTCATGCTCATGTTCCTCAATCTTCCTAAGGGGTTGATAACAGACAAATGAATACCAAATTTCTCTAGCAGTCTTGATATATGATGCCAAACCTCCAAGGTAGCTTGAGATTGATTATAATTCATCATGCATTAAAAAGAACTCTAATTAATAAAACAAAATGGTACTTCTTTCCATCCACTTATGATAGATATAAGTGAAAGCAAAACACTATAATAATAATAATAATAATAATAATAATAATAATAATAATAATAATAACAATAATAAATAAATAAATAAAATCAAGGTGTTAATTCTGCTAATTTTCCCTGAAATCAACATAGAAAGTGCACCTATAATAAGAAGAGACAAAAGTATGTTGGTAAAATAGAAAATTGACTAAAAGATTGTTGTTATTAATTGCATTTGTTATTTTTTCATGAAAAGGGAAAATGCAAAAACAACCTGCTTTTTATATTATAGCATCCAAATCAAGGGTAATACATTTGTATTTCTTGCCTCAAATACAAAAGTAGAGTAGCCAAAATTGTAACTTTTACAATATTGAAATTACATGTACAAAGAAGAGGATCCAACTTTAACTTCAGGTAATTTTTATTAAATTGAGGACAAAAGAAAAAAACAAAAAGTGGTACCTTTATCATTTTAATAGAAAATGATTTAGCATAAATTTTCCTCAGGTTGATAGTCATCCTTGCCCAAAAAATTGAAATAGAAACTAACAGGTTAGTAATTGTTTTTTTTTTTTAAAGTGAAGTTTCTTTAATTGGAAAATACACTCAATCAGAATATTCAAATTTTTACCTGTTCGTTTGAAGGGACCCATCTCTGATTGAGAGTTACAAAAACCTCTTAAAGAGGCTAACCTGATAAAGAACAACAATGGTAAGGTTTGCACAATCATAGAGAAATTTGATATCCAAAACTTGAAGTTCTTCAAACCTGATGTTGAAAAGCTTCTTTGAGCTGGCCTTTGTTGTCGAATGGAATGACCTGAAGAAAAGAATAGTAGTGGTATTGTAAGTGAACTTGAAAAAAACATGATGCTATCAATTATTCCCAGAGCAATCTTTTATATCTTCATACCACTTACATAAAGAATAAACAGGTTAAGAAGTTGTAACATTTCTACTGGTCCAGACATTCGAATAGCGATCGAAAGACTAGGAGATTGGATCTAGAAAGCAATTCCAGCAAGGTTGACGGCTGTGTGGTAACATCCATTTGGTTTGGAATCAAATAGAAGCTGATGCAATCAAGACTCATTTAATAATACCTCCAGAATAAATTACCTAAATTGTGATCTGTCCCACAAAATTCATGAGAAACGTCCAAAAAATTGAGACAAATACATGTGTAGTTTACCTCAAAAAGATTAAGCACATCGATATAACCAAATTGTTTGATGGAACTGTGGACTTGTGAATTCAGAGAAGCTTAATTAAATGACCTTAAAATCAGATGTTCTTATGTGTGTCTTAATGAGGCATTCCATCAAATAAATAGTTGGCGTGCAACTGAGAAGTGGAAAACAAATTCAAAGGAATCAAAATTAGAAATAAATAGAAAGGAATATATACAAACGTTAGGGATTATGTGACCTTCTTTGGTATGAGTAGAAGGGTAAAGGGAGAATTATGAATGAATCGAAGACCTTTAAGAGCTTTATAGTGCGAGTTCCATCAAGCATAACCAGAGGAAAAGAAGAAGTCGATGAGAAATATCAAACTAAAAGCAATTCAATATAACAAAACCTAATTTGTGAATTCAAAAAACAACAATAGGAAATCGAGAAGAGAAAATACCTTTGTTCTTAAAGGATGTTGTTGTAGCTGAACTGTTGAAACCCTTTCTTTGCAATCGACATTTATGAGGATTTTTCATTATGATTCTGCTCAGTCGTTGTGTTCTTTGAGTTTAAAAGATGGGATTAAGGGAAAATTAGACTATGTGATACCATGTCGCTTCTTCTTGCCTTCCTCCTATGCCTTCCGATCTCTATATGTTTGTTTATTCCCAGTCAATCAAAACATACACAATCGGTTGGTGGTTGAGACGGTGGGAGAACTGCATAACCAGAGGAAAAGAAGAAGTCGATAAAACACAAGCGGTGATATACACGTGTATATGGAGGAAACATCGAGGAGGAGGCGGTGGATATATGAGATCAACCAAAGTCGCGTCAACTAACTCCCCAACATACACCGCCGGTTGTGAAAATATTAGATAACCTCCATTGAACAATGACAATTTTAACCTTTAAACTAAAATAATATATAAAAAATAATAAATAAAGAGTTTCCTCACCGGGAAAAAAACTACTACCTGCTTTATTACTATAGGTTCTTTTCTTTTTCACATCTACTTCTCATTTTCACTAGAACCGACTTCTATATATATATATATATATATATATATATATATATATATATATATATATATATATATAACCACACAAAAATATCTAATGTAAATATAATTAATAAAACTTCAAAATAAACACATTAGTGGTACACCGACTTTTTTCAATTACATTATAACGTCCGAAAAACAATTATAAAACTTTACGATTTTAAAAAAGAATTAAAAGTCATTTTCATAAAAATTAAACAGCATTGAAATAACTATTTCACAATATTGAATAAAAATCAGAGTATCATAACATAATATCTCTCAAAATCATGAAGACTATCGGATAGTGTGTGTAGCCACACCCTCATTTTGCCTCGATCCTCAGAAATATCCAAAACATTTAAATCAACAACTATAAGTCAAAGTTTAGTGAGTTACCTGTTGACGTATCCCATCAGGAATATGTCAGGTATAACGGAACCGTTAATTCGATAGACAACATGGGCAAAAGTTGGTGTACGCCTAATGCCACGTCCTCGCCCAAGGGTCAAGGCCAGCGTCAAGACAAAATAGTATCAGTCATCATCCAAAGCGACAGGTGTAATGCTCAGGTTGCTGATCCCTTGGCAAGTCTGCACCAATAACAAACGCCACTCATGGAGCATGATCTACCAATTGGAAGCCGTATATCCTTGCCAGACCTGAAAAAGTAGAAGATATGGTCGGGGTTCTGTTCCCCCGATTCCAGGTATAAAAAGGTCCCTTCTCCTCCAAGAGAATAGACCAACATTCAACTTGAACCATTTGTCTCATACTTTCTTACCCTTTCATTAGAACCTTGAACTGACTTGATCGCCGGAGCATCGTTTCGGGACAACCTCCCGAACGACGACTGACGGTCTTGTTTTCTTTGTTATGATTCTCAGGCCTCCTTTTTATATCCCTCTTGGAGCAGGAGTCAAGCCGGAGACATATCCCAACAGTTGGCGCCATCCGGACGTACACCTAGTACGACACAAACCCCTTCGCAACGCCAGACGCCGAAAATGACGGATAAAGGACCGATACAGCGGGAAAGCGACAACAACATCCCGGTGAGACCAATGCAGTCCCTCGATGGAAGCGGTCCGTCGACACTGGAAGGACAACCGCTCACACAGGCACCAATGACGTCGCTTACGGCTCCACAGCGAAGCTCATTGCTAGCTTATGTCGACCACCTCCATCTCAACATAAAAATCGATCGACCACAACACCTCAAGGAGTGTCGACCACCTAATCACAATAAACAATAAATTGACCATAGCCATTGACACAGAAGGTGGGGACCAACGCTTGGTCCCTCAACACCATTATATCAGCCGCATCACTTGTAGGCCACCAGCCTTCTGCAATGGCTGCCATGTCATATATCCTGTTATTCGCCGAGCAGCCGCCGTTCAACTCATATTCATACCACTACGAAGGCGTGTGCCCTCAAACACAGTCACAAACACACAACGGTCAAAGCACGCCAACACAGGGGACGAACGCACATGCTATGGGGCTAACAGAGTCGAATTCACAGATGATTCAGCTAATGCATGCAAACCCCTACAAGCATCGTATATGCCTCAAGCAAACATGTATAACCATAGGTACCATTATAAGTTTGGCCAAGGGTACAACAGCCCATACCACGCGCAGCAAGCGATGGTCGGGCGTCCACTCAACTACCCACATATGAACAACCCTGTAACAAGTATCAGCTAGACATTCTGATTACACTATAAAATACCACATTCCGCCATGATACCAAACATCCCAAAGTATGACGGCACGATGGATCCTGAAGAACACATAGATACCTACGAGTGGACCATGACATCCCTTCAGATGGATAAGAGATTCACTTGCACCTACTTCCCGGTCACACGATTGGGAAACACTAGCAAATGATTCATGGCACTACGTCCGGGAAGTATCTCCAACTTCGAACAGTTGAGATACCTTTTCCTCCACAACTTCATGAAATTAAGGAAAGTCAAAGGAGATGCCAACTCTATCATGGCATACAAGAAAAAATGAGGGAGAATCCATCCGGGCATACTATGATCGGTTTACCCTTGCGACCCTGAGGGTTCCCAGCCATGAGGAATTTCTAGTCATGGGCACCTTCGCAAAGGGCTACTCCCAGACCCCTGTCAAAGAAAATGCAAGGAACAGTGCCAAAATCCAATTACGAGCTCAAATACAAGGTCGAAAAACACCTCAGCCAGATCGAGGGAGAAGAATGAAAACAAGCCAATCTAAAAGTCATAGAGAATGCCTACCTCAAACAAGAATCAGCTGGCTCCCACTATTACCATTGCCATAAGGAGTGCAACGATGGAAGCCATGATAAACATAGCAGACATTTGAGACACTCATCTCGTAGATTCTACCCATTCATCAAGGATAAGCCCAAGAGCTGTAAGATGGAAGTTCACGTCGTAGATAAAACCCATCAACGGACGTAAAAAGAGAAAAGGAAATATTGCAAATATCACAAGAGCAAAACCCACGATACTGGGGAGTGCACGATCCTCAAAAAAGAAGTACAAGACAAGCCACTGAGCGGAGGCTTAACAGAAATCACGAAGACTCTACAGTCAAAGTTCAAAATCGAACGGAAAGACAGGAGAAATCGGAAGAAAATAAACAAACAACTTATATAAAAGGAATAAATCTTTGCAATTGTAAGCCTCGGGAACAGAGCCAGGCGTTGACTTCCAGCCGTTGGCACCAATACATCACCCGACGACACTCTCAACATAAGTTTCTCACCGGAAGATCCACGAGCACTCAACTAGGACCCTACAGATCAAATCATAATCCCCTCCATCATACAAGAACATCAGATCTGGTGAGTCCCGGTCGACGGAGGTAGCAGCACCAATATCTTCTATGAGTACTGCCTCGAGCGACTACTGCCATCTTGGAAGAAAATCCTAAGACCACCAACCCGAGCCCCACTCGTTGGCTTCACAGGACACAAATTATCACCACTCGGAACAATAAACCTCTTGTTGACACTACTTAGCCATGGCGGAAAGGAAAGGCTTACAAGGATAATTAAGTTCTCGGTTGTTAAGCACAAATCCAAAGACGATATGATCCTAGGGAAACCTGCTCTCTTCCAACTACAAGCCATCCCATCAATGATACATGGTACAATGAAGTTCATAACGACAAACGGCTTAGCGAAAAATGACAACTCTAAACACACTAGCAAAACCAATTTGGGCTATCACTGCTTGGGCCACTGCACACATCCTAAGAAAGCAGCGCACGACGACAACTAATGCCCAAACAGTCCAACGCAAAAAAACAACCATCCGTACTCAAAATGAGAGGAAAGGCACCAACCCCTAATGAACAGCCCAATAGGGGAAGTGCGTGATAGCAACAACATCACCACTCCAAAACCATCAAGGATCGTCCTTATGAATACCAACCGATGTTGGACATCACTAAGCATGCATGTACGGCTTAGGGCAGCAAGAGCACAAGTCATGGAAAGAATGGAACGAAGGAGCACACCCACGAAGTCACAGAGCGTGACGGGAGGCACAAATAAGAAGCCACTGGTACCAGAGAAAAGAGGATAGGCAATCACCTCAAAAAGGAGAACGTAAACAGGAAATTCACCAAGATCAGTGAAATGAAAGTCATCTTGAAGATCGGCTTCAAGTTCAAAATCAAGTGTCGAGGCACCTATCCGCTTGAACAAGAAATGGGTTAAACCCAACTATAGATGGGTACCAAAGGTTCAATCTCCCAAATCTTCTAATGATTCTAATCTTTCTACATCTTCTATTTGTGATAAGACAGATATGTCATGGGAGAGAGTACATTGCAATGATGACAAAGGTCGACCCAGTTTCAAAATGAACTGGGTTCCAAAGACCAACTGATCCCGCTCTATGCTGGAGCAGCTATGGAGGCATATCATCAGACTTCGGTTTGTTGATAGTGGCTATTCCAGGCACATGATATGGGACATCTCTCAACTGTACAACATTCAAAAATTTGTTTGAGAGTATGTGCCCTTTGCGGGAAGGGAAGAAAGGAAAGGATCACACATGGGGGTTTGTACTTAACGACGTGAAGAATTTTCGGATCTGTTCTGAGATTATGCGTGCTATTCTTAGACCTTCGGAGTTTTCTTCTCGATACTTCTGAGTTTATCTTAAACTGATTTGTTTTTGAAGAAAAACTTTTATTTTCTTATAGTTTTTCGTTTGAAAGTTTTGTTAATTGGGAAGTGATATGAAGTCTAGTGCTAAAGGGCAATTTATGATGCGTGTAATGCACTAAATTCGAATTGTCTAGACTTGGTGTTCAATGTGCTGGTAGGCACACAGGATTCAAAAGGACTAGACTTAGATTGACAATTAAAGGGCTAGAAAATATAAACTTTGGTAGTTTCATTTGGACTGACAATACGGCGCCCAGGTAGATTGAACAATGAGATAAACATGGGAACCTGCGAGATACACTAAAAGTTAATTATCTAGAACTTTGGTTCAACATTTCCATGATGTATAGATTTATGTCCTTAATTCCGGTACTGATAGGGTAACTGTGGGTTTTGATAATGTAGGTCTGTAGGAAATTATTTTCTTGCTTTCTATCTGTCAGTCATATGTTGCTTCCTTTGCATGATTGGAACATATCCGACATGGAATGCAACATATGCAACTCTATCTCTATGCATATCATTATCTATGAAATTCTTTCTATCTGTTAGCCATATGTTGTCCCTTCTGCGTGATCAAAAGATACGACCTAGGACACAACATATGCACTCTACTATCTCTCTAACCCCTATCTATGTTAGTCATATGTTGTTCCCTCTGTGTGATTGGAAGACATCCAACCTGGGATACAACATATGCACTTCTATATCCAACTTCTTTCTAAATATTGTCTACTCACCTAAAGT